GCAGAGAACATGAGATCGGGGCAGAAGGGCCCGGTTTGAACCCCAGCTGTGTCACTCCCTGGTGAAGCGGGCTCGGGCAAGTGACCATCTGTGATGAGAACAATCAACCGTACTTCACAGGGTTGCTGCAAAGATGCATGAGGCCAGGTAGGTGAAGAAGCGTGTCCTCTGCACAGCGGGAGCTGTGGCTGCACTGTGGTTAGTGCAGTGACATTCATGGGACCCCACAGGATGTAAAGGGATCAGTCTTCTCAGTCCGCCCAGGCATGCCTGTAGGTCCGTAGCCCTGGGCTCTGGCTTTATCTAAATCTGACCTAGCTATTCAATGGCGAGGAGTTTCCGCTGGTTGTTGTTTTTTTAACTTTAAAAATAGTTCAGGTCAAAACCACAATTGCTGACCGCTGCTTTTTGTTCCTGGGGCCTCCGACCATGGTGAGGTGCCTTGACCTCAGTTAGTCACTGTAGTCGCTTTGGAGCCAGGACCTGCCCCTGCCCAAGCACACATATCCACACAAAGCCACAGGTGGAGACACACTCACGCAATCAAGGAGTTTATGCTACTGCTTCTCAGAGGATCCTGGGAGTTAGAATTCTCTCTCTCTTTTAAAAATCCTGGAGATCAGAGTGAGCCACTGGCTGGAGATCACATAACACAGGAGCCTTGCTTTGTTTTAAAGCAGCACCAGGGGACCTGGAGTTTGTCTAAGTGGGTTAAGGACACACACAGATACCGACGGAGACATACGCTTACACGCACAGACACACGGCCACAGACAGAAACACACACACGCACAGACATGGCCACAGATGGAGACACACAGTCATAGATAGGGACATACACAGAGCTATGCAGTTACACACACAGATACTCGTGGTCACATAAAAAACACAGGCATACACTCACAGACACAGGGAGACCCACACTTAGAAACACACAGTCACAGAAACATCCAGCTACAGAAAGAGATACCCACACACATAGACACACACTCACGTAAGCGCAGAAAGACACAAACACACACAGTCACGGACACATAGACACATACTCAAAGGTACACAGACACACCCAGACACCTACAGATAGACTCACACACTCAGACACATACACACAAACACACACACAAAGCTGCCCTTGTTGAAATGTTGAAAGTTGCCCTTGTTGAAATGGACCCTGTGGCATTTTCTGGGAGGACTCCCTCAGGCAGCCTCCCCAGAGCAGCTCCAATAAGCAAAGCAACAAGGAGCGGGGTGGGCAGCTACCCGGACAAGCAGGAGCTCTGGCGGCTCTGCCCTGGGGCATCCGTGCATCAGAGGGTCCTCTGGATGGACTCTGCCTCCCTCCTGGCACCTCTCGCACTTCTCAGCCCCTCCCTGGAATGTGAATCCTTATCTACAGCGGTGTCTACCTCACGGGGAGACGGGAAGGATGGGAAGCCCAGTAAGCAGGTGCTCAGTGAGCTCCTTATCCATCAGGCATGGCGTGGAATCGAGGAGTTAATTCCTACAAAGCTCTTTCAGCAGTGCCCAGCACAGACACAGCAATGAAGACGAGGATAAACATTCAAGTAGCACTTCCTGTGTGCCTGGCATTGAATGCGGGTTGTACGTATAGAAGCTCACCTACCTCTCAGAGCAATCCCAGGAGTTGGGTAACAACAGTATTATTTCAACTTTAGAGGAGGCTCCAGGGTAGAGTTGAAGCCACTTCCCCAGAGTCTCAGAGCTGGGGGTGACAGAGCCAGGATTTGAGCCCAGGCTGCAGGTGCCAGAGCTCCATGTTCTAACCAGTGTGCCATCTCATGCTTGTGGTGGACAGTTCCTTTCTGTCCCCATGAGAGGGTGAGGCCAAAGCAAAGTAAAAAGCTCATGGCTCTTGTTCCAGACAGACTGGTGTTTTAATTCCAGCTCCTCCCATGGCCATTTTGCCAATTTCCTTTGTCTTTCTGAGCTTCCAGTTCCTAATCTGTAAATTGCAGATGTTATGATCAGCATTCACAGAGCTGATGCACAGATTAAAGGAGACAATGGAGGTAAAATACCTGATGTGTAATTTGCACTCAAAGTTGGTTGTACTCATCATTAGGAATGTTATTATCCATGATTTAATGCCTGCAATGTAACTTGATGAAACTCGTCATTACAACCTAGGCTGATGGGGAGCAAGTCCCTTGCACTGTCTGACTTGGGGGAAGGTGCCTCTACACACGAAGCAGCTGTGGAGCTGGCAAACTTGCTTCCCTGTGGTACCAAGGTGCTTTCTTGCCCACTCTCATGATTTATTTCCTGCCACAACACTATGAAGTGAAATACGTAGGAAGGACTATGTCTTTTCAGGGAGAAATTCTCTGCTGCACAGAACCTGAACCCAGGTATTCCAACTCCAAACCCAGGGTTTCTGTCTGCTTCTCCTGGGAGAAAACAGACATGTGACTTCTAAGCCCTGGCCAGACCACTGGGCCTCTAGAAACTTAACTATCTCTAGCTGACTTATTGAATGCTGGCTTATTGAAATCAATTGCCAAGTATTACCTGAGAGTTATCAACCTTGTATTTCTTTTGACTCTATTTTATTCGAGGCAAAGTGAGTCACAAAGAAGCATACGTCTCAAGCCCCAGTTAGTTGGATGCTTTTTAAAAATGTGTACTATATCCAGGAGGACATACATACTGGTGGCCTCCAGATGAGCTCTGTGCAGTAATCAGCAGGAGTGAGCCAAGAATTCTTGTGTTTTGGGGATTCAGGGGAGGGAGGGATTTCTGGGCACTAGGGTGGCCCAGAGGAAGCTGCAGAGAATCACTAGGACTTGAGTGGATCTCTATGAGAGGAAAGGAATGGGAGAAGCAGGGTGGGTGACCATTCTGAGGGGGAGTGGGCAGGGACGGCAGTGGGGTCAGAGGCTGATTACCCAAAGGAGTTATAGATAGGAGCTGGGTCCTAAGTAACCCAGCAGCCCCAGGACAGGGCCTGGAACTCAAAATAAGTATTGCATGAGTGAATGAATGACTGTATGAGTGAGGGAGTGAAGAAATGAATGAATGGCAGGCAGATGGACCAGTGACTTCTAAATGAAGAGAAGAATTTCCATAGAAGTGTGGTGAGAAGTAAACTTCAGAAGTCATTAAATCCCAGACTAAGTAAGAGATGTGATTTAGAAGGCACCAACCCTGGGACACAGAGCAGGTATCCTTCAGGCAATGGGCAACGAAGAATCCATAAAACCTTTTAAATGAGGTATGACAGAAAAGGCTTGGGAATTTCCTGTCACTGGATTCTTTGTCTTTGCATTCTCAGTGCTGAAAATGGTTGGTCGTGCTCAGCAGGCCCTCAGTAAAGGATGGAGCATCAGCACCTCCTGAATGTAAGCTTCTGACGGCGGGTGTTGGGAGGTAGTTATTCCTCTATCCCCAGAGCCCAGCACAAAGTGTGGAACACCATATGTGGAACAGAAGAGAACTGGAATGAATGGCAGGATGGTGGCTCAGCCAGTTGACTGTGGGAGGGACTGGAGCAGTGAGCATCTGAGGCAGGGAGTCCATCGGTGACTTGTAAGGTCTAAGGATAAAGGGGTAGTGTGTGACCCAGAGCGCCATGTCTCCGCCCTCACACTGACCTCTCCTGGGAACTCACCCACACCTGGAAGGTGCCACCAAGGTGTCGTAGGCCAGCTTAATTGCGGCATGCTATTGAGCAGCCAGGACAGCTTAGGGAGAGAGCTCTGGAAGCTAAAGCACAGATGGACTTTTTTGTAACATCTGAGTTTATATTTGTATTCTCTTGCGTGTTTTCTACACTAAAATCATCTTCTTTTCTTGATCCCTAAAAGCCTGAGTTTTACTCTAATTTGTAATACTTCAGTTTTGGCAAAACTTACATGAGAAGGATGATAATTAATACAACTTTCATCTTGAAATCCCAGTCTTAGGGCAAAAGATTGCACTTCTCTTTTCTTCTTAGAATCAGAAGTTCTTGGTTTCACTTGGTGAAAGCCCGTGGAATTTGGGTGAGAAAGGGAGATGGTAGCTTAACCCTTGGTCAATGTCCTTTGAACATCACGCTAAGGTTTCACTCTTGATTTCCTAAAAGGCATCAAAACTACCTGTTGGTAAAGTCATGATCTAGGGGACAATCTGAAATGTAAGATTTGAAGGAGGCCTAGTGAATGCTATTCCTTCTTTCTTGTATAAAAAGTGCATGTGTGTGTGTTTACTTAAGGGAAAGCAGAAAAGACTTAAACATTTATAAGGCACCTTCTAAGGGCCATGTCATTTATTCACGTTTTCTCTCATGATCTCCAAAACAACCCTCTAAGTGTAATATTATAATCCCTATTTTACAGATAGAGAGACTGAGGCCTGGAGTGGGTAGGTAATTTTTCCAAGGTCATATAATTGATCAGTAGCAGGGCTAGAATTATAAAGATTTCGTTTCCCCCAAACTGTGCTACCTATCCGAGAAAACAGCAATCACTAAGCACATTGCAGACCCTTATTTTCCATTCCATTCATGAGTGGCTGGTGGATGGCGACTCATAGGCAAGGTTTTTGCAAGGGTGGCTGGGACAGCAAGAGGAGGAGGAGGAGGAGCAGGAGGGGAGTTTAGCTTCTCCATCACAGGATTGCCATAAGGCTCAAAAACACACCATGTCACATTTGCAGACTGAAAAGTCCTCGTGAGACAAGAGAAAGTCTATCCCAAGTTGCTTTGATTCCCATGTACAACTGTGCTGCATTCTGCTTAAGACAGAGCTCTCGCCTCTATTGGCTCCTTTAAACTCCCACTACCATCCTAGGAAGTAGGAAGAACCAATATTACTGAAAACAGTACTTTCTTAATCATTCTTTTGTGTATGGCCCACTTCATTTCAAGAAGAATTTGGGGTACACTCAAGAAACAGTGTCTAAGAAGTTTAAAAACCTGCTAGTAGCAGGTGAAAGAGGTTAAGACCCAGGCTTTCTGGCCCCAGGTTTTTGTTTCCCATGATGCCATGTTGTTTCAACAGCTGGAGGAGGCATCCAGTCCCAGGGCACCTCCTGCTGCCTGGCCCCACCGGGTTTATTTGAACAGTCTGACTTCATCAATCCACAGAGCCTTCTAACAATTCAAGGTGAGTGAATGATGGAGGAGTTCTATTGGCTTTTTATGCTTTTCAGAATATTCTAACTTGTCTCCAATGAATTAATGTTAAATTTTTAATTAGAAAAAAATTAAATTACATTTAAAAAGATGAATTCCACACTAAAATATAACTGATCCTTGTCAAGACGGAAGCACTCATTACAGCTTATCGTGTAAGCACGTCAGTGGACAAGTGACGTGGCCAAGTCCATTTAGAAAACCTTTGCAGGGACAATAAGAGGTGGGAAGAAATGAGAATCCTCAAACCCTGAGGGAGGAAGGGGGTGGTTCTGGCTGAGAGAAGAGGTCCAGCAATAAGCCTTGCTCTCTTCACAGATCGGCACAAATGCAATAGTTTTCGTACTCTAGAAAAAGACGGTCATATACTGCTCTACATCCATCAGTGCGACCTTAGCTTATTTAAAGAGGAAACAGAACGCCCTTTGCAATTTTTAAAGCAAAAATAGCAGTCCCCAAATAGAAAATACAGGTGAACAAAACAGAGAAAATTAAAATTACACATAATCCTCGCAATCAAAGAAAACCACCGTTACATGCTATTAGCTTCCAGCATGTCTCTTCCGTGTGTGTGTGTGTGTGTATGTGTGTATACACATGTATTCAGGAAATACAGAGAGCATATTGTTTTTGAGCCTGTCTTTCCCCCCTAACAATCCATTGTCTACATCATTATGTATCATTACTTATTTATTTACAAGATTGTTTTCAATGCCAGCATGCTAATTAAATTTAGGATTTTAGGTTATTAGGGAGAATGTTATAGACAGGTTAGGGGCACCTGCAGGCCATGGAATATGATAGACTTGGATACAAATCCCAGTTCTGATTTGCAGATGTTTGATTTGAGACTTTCTTCATCTGTAAGGAATATAACAATATTGAGAGCTTCCCCATTGGATTGTTGTACTAAAGAAATGAGAAAGTTTTCTGTAACGGTATGGTGCATTACAAACTGTAAATATTTAATAAATGATAGTTGTTGTTTCAGGCTTTATGATGTTACAGACAATACTGCAATGTACATCTTTATAGCTAAATCTATTCATATATCCATGATGATTTCCTTATGCAAAGGCATTACTGGGTCAAAAGGTATAGTTTTTTTTTCCATCAATAAGATAATAAAAATGTATTAAATGAGTTGTTTCCATGGCATTTTAATAGTTTCTCATTAAATAGCTGCCACATGAACATCTGTATTAAAGAAGAATGTTTTTTGTTGTATGATAAACATTTACCTAGTATTTTAAGCTACGATTCTTGGTATCTATAGCTAACTTTAGGAAATTGTGTTATTGTGATATAATTCACATACTACAGAATTCACCCACTTAATTCAATGGTTTTTAGTTATAGTCACAGAGTTGTGCAATCATCACCACATCTAATTTTAGAACATTTTCATTATCCCACAAAGAAATCCTGTACCCATTAGCAGTCATTCCTCATTCTCCACCCTCACTCCCAGCCCCAGGCCATCACTAATCTACTTTCTGTCTCTATAGATTTGCCTATTCTGGACATTTCATATAAATGGAATCATATAATACGTAGCCTTCTGTGTCTGGCTTCTTTTATTTCACCTGTATTATAGCAGGTATTAGTACTGTATTTATTTTCATTGCTGAATTATACTTAATTGTATAGAGAAACCATTATTCATTGGCTGGTAAACATTTGGGTTGTTTCTACTTTTTGCCAGTTATGAATAATGCTGTTGTGAACAGTCATATACAAGTTCTTATATGGATGCATGTTTTCACGTCTCTTGAATGCACATGTAGGGGTGGAATTGCTAGGTCACATGAAAACTCTGTGTTTAACCTTCTGAGAAGTTGCCAAACTGTTTGTCAAAGTGGCTGCATTATTTTATATTCCCACTAGCAATAAAAGAATGCTTTTACTTCTTCATATCCTCAGTAACACCATCTGATTTTTAAAAATTGTTATTATTATAGGCATCCTACTGTGTGTGAGTTAATGTCTCATTATGGGTTTAATTTGCATTTTGCTGATGACTGACTGATAGTGTTAAGAATCTTTTGCTGTGCTTATGGGCCCATTTGTACATCTTCTTTGGAGAAACGTCTATTCAGATCCTTTGCTTATTTTCAGATTGAGTTATTTGTCTTTTCGTTATTGAGTTGTAAGTATTCTTTATGTTTTCTTGGTACAAGTCCCTTATTAGATACATAATTTGCAAATATTTTCTCCCATTATGTGGATTTTCTTTTCACTTTCTTTGTGGCATCTTTTGCAGCACAGAATTTTTAAAATTGTGATGAAATCCGATGTATCTATTTTTTCTTTTGCTGCCTGAGGTTTGGTGTCTTATCTAAGAAACCCTTGCCTAGTGCAAGGTTCACGAGTTCTGCCTTGCATTCTATAGATAGATATTTTACAATACAAAAACCTTTTTTTTTTTTTTTTTTACAATGGACTGCTAACCTGTCCTACAGAGAGATTGTACCTTGGTATATTTTTATACTTGCAAGTTTAAATCACCCACCAGCTGTGTCTACACATGGAGGAAAGAGAAGAAAAGTACCAAAAAGTAACAGGGAGCTGGTGTGCTCCAAGCACTTTACATGCTGTTCTCAGTTTGTGCTCATTAAACCTCTGAAGCAGGAAGACACGACTATGCCTCTTTTATTAAAGAGTGAGGCTCAGAGAGGGTAAATGACTTTGTCCCAAATCACCCACTGCTGGGGAATTGGATTCAGGCTATTTGTCTCCAAAGCCACAACACTACCCACCCTCTATGTGCCAAACAGAATCTGCACTCAACCTGCCTTCTATAGACATCTTTGACAGACACTGCCGTCCATGTGGTCTAGCTGTAGAACTGTCCCCCTTGCCTGTGGAGGCACAGTGTGGAGGCCTTCCCAGGCCCCTGTGGGGGAGCCCTCTAAGGGGTCTCTCCCAGGCACTTCTGCTGGGAAATGGAGAGGACCTGAGCCTTGGCTTTGTCTCTTTAGTTCAGAGCCAGCACCTGTCATATTTTCCTACAGGTCTTGCAGACTTGACAAAATGCCTTTTTCCATCTGTTACAAACATGAAGTCTAATTGCCTCTGTCACCTTCTGGCTGTCAGAAGCCATTTAAATGCTTGGCACTTGAAAATTTCTGATTTCCCAGGCAAAGGTGTCACACTTTAAAAGTGACACCATGAGTGATAGCCGAGGCAATGGCTGCCCTCTTATTTCAAAGAGAATTTAAAATGCAGGCTCCTGAGCCTCCCTTCCATTGTCAATGAGCATTTCATACATACACATGGGCATATGTTTCCTTTTAAAAATAATTTCATCATTATAGCTTGTAAAAGACCCTGACTGCTTCTTTCTAGTCATTTATTATTGCAGCTTTGTTTCAGGGCCCAGGAGAAGAGCTAGAGCAGTGGGGACTGCCTAGACAGAGGCAAAATCTCTTTCTATTTTCCTTCCAGTAGCCCCTAGACTGCCTCTCTCTCTCCATTTCTTCCCTCCTTTCTTTGCTTTCTCCCTCCTTCCTCCAGTAAATGCCATGGGCCAGCTCTTGACCAGCAGAAAGGACTCACCATGCCTGCCCTAGAAAACACAGTGCGTGCAGAAAGTTCTGAGATGCTGATGGGTGGGAATGGCCTCATGAACACAGCCGAGGGAATGGCATAGAAGGTGCCTGGGAGGGATCAGGGTCGCCTCTCAGAGGACAGCGCCACAGAAGGTACGGCCTGGGCTGAGTGACTGAGGTGGCTCCGTGCAGAGATAGAGGAGCCGGGGGAAAACTGCGAACCACTGGGTGCAGACGGACCATCTGAGGAGGTGGTGGCTTCACTAGAACCTGGACAGGGCAGCAGGGCACTGGATGAGAAGGGCACACATGGGTCCCTGAGCCTGCTTAGTTTCTGGAACCCACATCACACAATTCCAACATCATCCTCTATGAATCCTCTTCAAATAAACTAATTATTATTATTTTAAAGAGATGCAGGAAAAAATAGAGACCATGGGCTTTCAGGTTGAAGAAATCTTACTGAATCTTGCACTGACAACTTAGTAATTGGCTTAACTCTCTGGGTCTCCATTTCCTCATCTGTAAAGTGGGTATGTGATATGTGGCATCAAGAGCGTAGGCCATGGGGTCCATCAGCCCAGGTTCAAGTCCAACACCCCCTCTAACCAGCTATGTGTTCTTAGGAAAACTATTTAAAGTCCCAGTGCCTTAGTTTCCCCTAAGATAAAATAAGGATGAGAATATTTACCTCATTCATTTGTTAAGATGAATTGATAACATGTAAATTGCTTACATGTTTCAAGTTTACAATAAGTAGTAGTAGCAGTTGTTAAAACTGCTTTGATATTTGATATTTCAAACTATTTGATATTTCAACTCTTTGATATTTCAAAGAGTTCTTGTGAAAATTAAGTAACAAGTTCAAAAAATACTTGATAACTGACAACTGTATAGTGCTTTACAGGTCATAAAGTATTAGCAATAATAAATAATGATAACTGACATCTGTACCATGCTTTACAGGTTATAATTATTTATTATTGCTACTTAAACAAAAATAAAATTTTCTAGTATAAAAATGGCTTTTGGGATTGAAATGTTGTTTTGGCCAGAACTATTTCTATAGCAACTAGGCCTGCCTACTCATTGCTTTCCCTCCATGGCTGCCCCACACGACTAAGTGTAATTAGTTGTGGCTCAGTGAGCACCGAAGCCAGTGCTGACATATGATTTCACACCCATCCAGTCGGTTATAACTGGATGACACTGTTTTAAATTACATCAAGGCTAGTTTCGAGTTTTTCTTTTGATAACAATGAGAGAAACTTATCATTAGAAAACAGTGTATGTCATGAAAGTATTAAGGCATCATAGAATGAGAACAGTAGAGGAAACCTTAATAATAAACCTTCATAAAAGTCACAATAATGCTGTTACAGATCCTACCCTCATTTTGTGCTGTTCAAGCACACTTAGA